TATATAATACATTTATTTATGTATTTATTTGTTGTGATTTTCAGGTTGCCAGGTGCAGGACTTGCACCACAGTAGGCCATGTGGGAGTCCAGCGCTCCGACCACCATGCCACCTGCCGACCCTAAAACTTCCTACATTTAAACAAAAATATTCTCCATCTCTGCATCCTTCTTTAGTATCCCAATTCCTGGCTCTCACTCACAGCAAAGCATCTGAAAGAATCACATGTCTGCTATTGGGTCGTTGAGGAAGCCAAGATGCATTTTTGCATGTAAAACCATTAAAAAAAAAGCCACGACCTTCCCAAAGACCTAATATATTCACTTTCTCACCTTGTATTTCTCTGCAATTCCAGAAAACTCTTATGTCCCCACCATCCTACCGAGTGTGCCCTTTGCAGGCCCCCCAGCCCCAGGAATAAGCTTCTCACCTGGACTCTCCACCAGCTGTGGTCCTCGCTCTGCGTGGTTCTGGGGAGAGTGACTCTGGCTCTAAAGGTCACAGCAGAAGACATGCCAAGCTACAGGGGGAGGGGAAGGGAACTAAAATGAGATGAGTAACAGGAAACAGGAAACCAGGGTTCCCTGTGAATTCTGACAGCCCCAAAATACATCACTACGGTCACTGTAGGATTTGGGAAATGTCCTGGGCTCTCTCAGAAACTCAGGTATCTGGCTATTTTCTTCCACTTTAATCCTCCGTGGGTGGCAGAGCTTCAACCCTCTTGATGTCAAGAGTTTAGGAACCTGGGTGTCCTGGGTCTTTCTCTCATCAGGGAGGAAAAAGAAAGAGTAACAAAGTGAGAAGAATCAGAGGTGAGTAAGAAAAGGCTGAGGCGAATGGTTAGATATGAAAACCAGGGACCAGTAGTCAGCGAATGGCTATGTCGCTGGAGTCAACCGCGGCTCGAGTCCCAGACCCGGTGGCTTAAACTCATGCCGGGTCCATGTGCGTGAATGCCCAGGATCCCGAGAGGAGAATGGAGGAGAAGGGATTGCAGCGTCATCCCCCCTGGGGAGTGATTTCTCGCCTTCTGTCTCTGTCTTTCTCTGTCTTTTTGGCGAGAACACACACCCTATAGCAAAAAACTCTCCAAAAAAGAAAAACAAAAAAGAAAAAGAAAGAAAACCAGAAACACAGGGAGAGATAGGGGAGGCCAAGAAATTGAGCCAGTTAAACTCAATAGAGCACTCCCCATCCTTCCCACACTCCACACTGCCATGTTAATCCCATAATCTTCTGCTCCTGCTCCATTGGAAGCTCATGTGTAGGCTTCTAGCCAAAAGAAATGGTAGTCTTTCTGGAATTTTAAGAATTATGTAAGGTTGGGGCCAGTAGATGGCATGGTGGTTTAAGGTGCTGGACTCCCTCATGGTTTGAGTCCCAGACCTGGCAGCTTGCTTCCTCACTTGCACTCTCTCTCTCTCTCGCTCTCTCTCTCTCTCGTGAGCACATGTGTCTTATAGCAAATTAAAAATAAAATAATAATAATAATAAAATTAAATAATTCTTTAAACAATAATTATCCAAGGAAAATGATATGGGGAAATACCGAAAGACCTATTTAGAGAGAGATAAGAACAGTCTTCTTCTTTTTTCTTTTTTTTAAAGATTTTTGCCATAGAGCACACGTACTCACCAGAGAGGGAAAGTGAGAAATCACCATCCCCCCTCCCACTAGGAATAACTACGCCACAATCTCTTCTCCTCCATATTCTCAGGACTTGGGACATGCAAACACATGCACCCAGGGTGTTTTATGAGCCTCCAGGACTCAAACTATAGAGTCGTCCATGTGGGATCCAGCACTTTAACCACCACACCACTGATTGGCCCAGGACACTCATCTTGAAGCATCATTCTAGGGGACAGCAGGTGACATGATGGGTAAGGCACTGGACTCTCACATGGCCAACCACAGTATGAGTACCAGACCCGGCGGCCTGAAATCCATGCTAGGCGTATGTGCATATGTGCCAAAAACCTAAGGAGAAGGGATAGTCGCATGGCCATTCGCTAATGGAAGGGGATTTCTCACTTTCCCTCCCTCTCACAGTCTCTCTGTCTCACTAGGAATAACTACGCCACAATCTCTTCTCCTCCATATTCTCAGGACTTGGGACATGCAAACACATGCACCCAGGGTGTTTTATGAGCCTCCAGGACTCAAACTATAGAGTCGTCCATGTGGGATCCAGCACTTTAACCACCACACCACTGATTGGCCCAGGACACTCATCTTGAAGCATCATTCTAGGGGACAGCAGGTGACATGATGGGTAAGGCACTGGACTCTCACATGGCCAACCACAGTATGAGTACCAGACCCGGCGGCCTGAAATCCATGCTAGGCGTATGTGCATATGTGCCAAAAACCTAAGGAGAAGGGATAGTCGCATGGCCATTCGCTAATGGAAGGGGATTTCTCACTTTCCCTCCCTCTCACAGTCTCTCTGTCTCTGTCTGGCAAGCACATGTACCTTATGGCAAAGACCTAAAAAGAAATCCTCAGAGCCTTGCTTCATTTAGAGTATATTCAATCGTAAGTAATTTATAATTACACCTAACCATAGCTTAGACCAAAGACAACTTAGGGTCTACCAGAATTTTTCAAGTGGGCAATACTAAGTTAGGCAATATCTGAGTAATATCATCAAGAACCGCATTCATTTTAATCATTTGACTTTCTGGTCCAAAGTCACCCAAAATGGTGACTTTTTTTTTGGAGGACTGTCACTTCATCACTGCAAGACTGCCACCATAGCTCCTGATTTCACACCATATCCCAAGCCAGGAGGATGGCATGACATGCAAAGTCCCTGAAGACTTTTAATTAGAAGTCAAATATGCTCAGATTTGCATTTTATAAAAATATCTTTGGGGTCATACATAACAGGTAAGTGTTAGCAGGATCCCCAGGGAGGCAGGATAACAAGTGTCGACGTGTCCAAGAGTCACAGGAAGTCAGAGTATTGTGGGAAGACTGGACGAGGAGGATGTCAGACAGCACCATCGCGTGGCTGGGCCCAGCCGCCGCTGAAGCCGGAAGACAAGAGACCCTATAGGGAGTACGTGCGAGACAAACTTCCAACTCTGTGACATCTGAAACTGGGACAATGAGGTGCCTCTGCGTGTTTTCCGTGTGTCCCATTTTCTGAGGACAAGCGGGTTGTGTTCCTCGCTGTTAAACGGCCATGGTGAACACACCAGAATTTCCCAAAGCACACAGGAAACGTGAACTGCCCACATCGCCTAGGGTTAAGGAAAAAACGGAAAGTCTCAAGAGAGACTTTCACTCTTACGTGGCTCTCTTGCCTCATCTGGAAATAACCGACGGGGAAGTGCTGTTAGCCTGGACTTGTTTGTGTGAGGACAGTTCTTGCCTGCGCTGCAAAAACTCCTGGCCCTTCTAGTGGGTGAAATGTGAACAGCGAAACGGTCAGTAAATGACGACCCCGGAGACGGCAAAGCCAGGCCGCCTGAGCTGGAACCCCAGGCCTGCCCTGCACTAGATCTGTGACTGGGAAAGCCGTTCAGCCCCGGGGTCAGCACACATGCTCTGGGGAGGGCCAGGGAGGAGCTGTCTTACATTGTTAGGCCACAGGTTCTGCAGCCCGGCACTGGGCTCTGCAGACATAGCACCTACACAGCATAGGTAGCGCTGGACCTCATGTCGTTGGTACATGTCTTGAAACAGTCTTCTTTTGATTTTCTTTATCCAGTAAAAAATGTAAACCTATTCTTGGCTCACAGGCCATATGAAAACAAGTGGTGGGTTGGAGTTGACCCCTGATTGAACTGTGCTGAGTCTCAGTCAGCTTTCTTCTAGTGGATAGAGATCTCATGGCTGCAAGATAGCTGCCATCACTCCTGACTTTCACACTACATCTCAAGCCAGGAGGATGGCAATGATATGTTGCCCAAAGATGTTTTTATAAAATGCATATATAAACATATCTTTTTTCTAATTAAAAATCTTCAGTGACTCTTCGTTTCATTCCCACCCACAAGCCTCTGGGAAGGGAAGGTGGGGCCTAGGGATTGAGTTCTATAAAACTCCTGAACAATGAGATTTGATGATCTTCGGGGCTGATGAACACATAAGCATGCTGGGAGGGCAGCATGCCTGGAGTGAGCATAGAAGGTCCAAAACAACCACGCCTCCACCCCATCTGCCTTGGGCTTCTCTTCCAGTTGACCTGCATCCTTTCTAATAAGCTGGTGAACGTAAGGAAAGCGCCTTCTTGAGTTCCGTGAGCCATTCTAGCAAATTATCCGACCAGAGGAGGGGTCAGAGGAGCCTCTGATGGACAGCCTGTCAGAGTATAGGAACTGTGATTGGCGTGTAAAGTGTGGACAGTCTTGTAAGACTGAGTTCGTTTCGTGGGTTCTGATGCTAACTTCTGGTAGACACCATCAGAACCGAACTGAGCCATAGGACACAGTTCAGCGCCCCGAGGTGATACCCACAGGGGACTGGAGACATGGCTTTGTGGGAGAAAAACCCTCACGTCCGGTCTCTGAAGCATTGTGCAAGTTGAGAAATGAGTTTTTGCTTAACCACCATCTCTGTTTTTATTGCTTGCTTCTATCAGTAACCGTTGGAATATTTTTCCCCCTTTTTTCCCTAAATCCCCAAAGAAGAACAGGCCTGAACACTCAGATTCCTTACCCTAGGTGTTTAGAGAACAGAACTGTCTCCCACGAGGGTTACAGCTGAAGGACAAGCAGGCTTGCAGGTGTCTAAAAGGAGGGTGCTGACAACGTATCTGTGGAGCCTTCTGGAAATTGTGGTAAACCCTGAGTTTCTGTCGCCTGATTGGTTCTGGTCCCATTGTCCCTCCCCCACCCTTCAATAAAGTCTCTGAGAGCCCAAATTACTCCACAGGAAGCCAAGGACCGCCTCAGCGAGAGAATCCCAGCTGACAGTAAGCTGGGCTGGCAATTTTCTAATTACTGTGTAAGCGCCTGCCGTGTGCCCGACACCTTCTGAAGTCCGGAGCGCGGCTTCTGGCAGAGCACCCCCTGCTACGCACCGCTACCGAGCTCTTGCTGAGGGTCCTCCAGCCTGACCTGAGGTGCCGTAAGTGTGATGTTTAGTTAGTGTGTTCCGAGTGCAGAACAGTATGAAAAAAAAGGCAAATGATCTCAGTGATAAGTCTTACTTTGGTTACATGTTTCAGTGATACTCTTTTTGACATGTCAGATTATTAAAATTAATTTCCCAGGGCCAGCAGGTGGTATGATGGTTAAGGCTCTGGACTCCCACATGACCAATCATGGTTCGAGTTCCAGACCTGGTGGCTTACTTTCTCGCTTTCTCTCTCTCACTCTCTCTCTCTGGTGAGTGCATAGGCCCTATAGCAAATTTTTAAAATAATAATAAATAAAATTAAGCAAGCAATTCTTTTTTAAAAATTAATTTCTCTGAATTTAAAAAAGAAAAACGTTTTTAGGGACCAGCAGATGGCATAATGATTACACTGCTGGACTCCCACATGACTGACCATGGTTCGGGTCCCAGACCTGTTGGCTTGAGACTCACGCCGGGCTCATGTGTTTGCATGCCAAGATCCCAGGAGGAGAATGGAGGAGAAGGGATTGCGGCATGGCCATTCCCCCTGGGGGATGATTTCTCACTTTCCTTCTCACTGTCTCTCCAATGAATGCAAAATCTCTTTTAAAAAAAGAGAAAAAATCTTCTAAAATTGACTATAGGAAAATTTCAAATCATATTTGTGCTCATGTTTATGGATCATTTACGTTTCCCTTGACAGCTATTATAGAGATCATGGGTTGTTGGAAGAGGCATGATGTATCTTTCTATGCAAAAATGTGTTACGACTTTTCTGACCACCCAATAGCGCGGGAAGAACTTGGGAGCCTGGTGGAGCTTCCATCCAAGCGTGGAGGGCGTTTAGGGCAGAAGAGAAGTGAGTGGGTAGTTGAGGAGAAGCGCGACTGGGCTGAGCGGAGTCTGGACAGCTGCTCCGCGCCGTGGGCCAGGCCGGGCCTCTCTGAGCACATACTGTGCAGGCTGAAATCCGAATACTCTGAAAGAGTCAGAACCTGGTTTCTGAGGGCCTGTCAGGTAGGGGACCCTGAAAGGAAGCGCATCCGAGGCAGAAGGAACAGAGAACGCCAAAGCCCTGGGACCAAAGGAACGCAGTGTGGCCCAGCACAGTGTGTGAGAAGAGAGTGGGTTTATGAGTCCTGAGGGGTGGACCGGGCAGACGCAGGGGTGCTTGGTCAACGTGAGTCAGGAGGTCGGAAGCCCTTGGAAAGAATCACGCAGAATAATGTCATGAATCTTCTGAGTCCTTTGAAAAGTTGCTTTCTCCTCTGTCTGAGAATGGAGTTCAGGGAAGGGGCAGCAGGAGCAGGAAGAAGCTGCTCACAAGGGCAGTTTATATACGCTCAGGACGAGGGCGGAGGTGACAGGAATGATTCTGCGCGTGCAGCGTGCTCTGTGGAGAGCGTCAGTAAGAGAGGGATTGGATTGGGAAATCAAATATAAGTTCTAGTTCAGAGCTTTAATGTCCGAATGCTTAAGCTTCAACTGGATACAGGATACTGAAAGAGAGGCAAGTTTGCAGGGAGGAGATGATCGGCCATGTGGGAATCCAGCACCCTTAACCACCACACCATCTGCCGGCCCCAACTGCTAATCTAAATCATCAGCCCCAGCCTTTTCCCGGAGTTTAAGCATAATACAATCAACTGACTTTTTCTTCTTCTTTTTGAGAGGTTTTTGCTATAGGGCACGTGTGCTTGCCAGTGACACACAGAGAGACAGCAAGCAAGAAATCAATCCCCAGGGGGGTGGGCAACCGCCACACTGCAATCCCTTCTCCTCCATTCTCTTCTCAGGATTTTGGGCACACATGCACACATGCCCATCATAAATCTAAACGTCTGGGTCCGGGACTCGAACCGCGGTCGACTACATGGGAGTCCAGTGACATAAGCCTTCACCATCTGCTGGTCCCACGACTTCTTCTTTTTAAAAATTTGCCAGAGAATATATGCACTCACCAGACAAAGATGAGAGAGAGAAAATGAGAAAGCACCTTGTATGGTGCATGGTCACACCTCAATCCCTTCTCCATTTCTCCCTCCCTTCAGGAGATTGGGCACACACACACACACACGAACACACACACACACACACACAAAATGTGTTTTTCAAGCCTCCAGGTCTGAGACTCAAGCTGCACAGTTGACTACGTGGGATCCAGCTGCCTCAACCTCTAGGGCACTGGCTGGCCTCCACTGACATGTAGGGTCTGTAGGACTCCCAGAGGGAGGTGTAAAAATAACAACAAATGGAATTAAATAAGTAAATCTTAAAAAAAAAAAAAAAAAAGAAGAAGTTATCCATATAGGGCCAGTCCTGTAGTTTAGTAGTTGATGGACTTGGCTCTTACATGGTCAACCATGCTTCCAACCCTAGCCCCTAAGGATTAAAAACACACTGGGTGGGACCAGAGGATGGCATCATGGTTGGGTCGCTGGACTCCCACATAGTCCACTGCTGTTCAAGTTCTGGACCCTATGGCTCAACACTCACACCGGGCATGTGTGCATGCATGTCCAAAATCCTGAGAGGAGAATGGAGGAGAAGGGATTGTGGTGTGGCCATTCCCCGAGGTACGTAAATTCTCTCTTTCTGTCTCTCTGTCTCTCTCTGTGTCTCTGGTGAACGCACGCTCCCTATAGCAAAAATATCTTTCAAATAAAAAGAAAGAAAACACACTGGGCAGGTGTACATGTGTGTCCCAAATCCAGCAGGGTAGAGAGATGGGGGAGAAGGGATTGTGGCATGACTACATCCCAGGGAGGGATGCTTTCTCTGTCTTCCAACCCCGTCTCTCTGGTGAGTACTCACTTCCTGTCCCTCTGGTGAGTACACATACCCTCTGACAATTCAAAAAAGGAAGTTATCCATATGGTATTTTAAGCCATGATGCTGGATGCTATTACCTATGGAAAGGCTATAGAGAGAAGATGGGTGTGAGGGGGTAGGTACAAGTTGTGGGACACCCCAAAATTTAGAGTCAAGTTTAGATCAGAAAAATCTAGTAAATTATACTGAAAAGAGCTGGCCAGTTGAGCCATAGAGACAACCAAGAATGTATTGTGTGTATATTTTATCATCTCAGAGCAGAAGAAATATGTGTCTTAAGGAGGAAAAGCTCTAATGGGTCTTTTTTCACTGAGGTATTAGGATAAGAACTAAGAAGAAAACCCTGGGGCTGACAACAAGGAGGCCTTCACGTCCTTGAGGAGAGCCCATTCGGTGGAAGACTGAGGGCTCAAGTCAGTATGTGGTGGATTTAGGAGAAAATGGGAGGTGAAAAAGCTGAGTGAGCAATTAAATACTCCCCTCTGAAGTTGGGCTCTGCAATCTCTTCAGAGAAATGAAAAATATTAATATCTTAAGAGAAAGAAGAGCTGAATAAAACCAGAAAGCAATGCAGGCCAAGGATGGTTTCTTTTTTAAAAAATTTATTTACTTAATTTTATTTGTTATTGTTTTTTTAATTTGTCCAAGAGAGAAATGGAAAGTGGGAAAGGAAGCTACTAGATCTGGACTTGAACCATAGTCAGTCACGTGGGAATCCAGCATCTTAGCCACCATGCCACCTGCCGGCTCCAGAAGGTTTCTTTTTAAAGATCATACGATACTGTGATGGGGAAATAATCTAGTAGAAGGAAAACCTTGAAGAGTTTTTTGACTGAGAAGAGAAGGGAAAATACAGAAAGAAAGTTTTGAGGAAGATGCCCATGAGAGAAAGAGACGAGAGAGGGAGAGGTCCAGGGCAGACTGGGGAGGGTCATCCTTGGAATGAACAAGAACTCTTTATTCTCACTGACAGGTAGATTGGAGGGTCTGAGGGAAAGAAGGCTAAGACTTCCACACCTCATTATTACCATTTTCCCATTAAGGTATCAATCGCGAGCATCACCTGTGGGGAGGGATGGGCGATGAAGTGATGTAGTTTGAGGAAAAGCAGAAGGACTGAAGCAGTTATCTTAAAGATTAAGAAACCACATGTGCTGGTGAAGTAGAATACGCTAACAAGGAAGTGTTGAGTTTCCATTTGAAATCTGTGGTCATAAATCTAACTACACCCTTTAACCATTACGATATCGAGCAGGCCATTTCCCCTCTCTGACCATGGTGTTTGTCCCAAAGCTAGGATGTTGTAATTGGAGACTGGCACCTATGAGGGGCCCTCCAAAGAGCAGCCATCTGTGGGTCTCAGGTTCCCTTCACCTTGCAACCAAAGCCCCCATAATTTTGCAACTTGGTTTTGTTGGCCTTTCCCCACTTGTCTTTGCACAATCATCCTTCCTTGTTATATCAACATTTTAAAACCAATTTGGAAATGATTGAGTACTTCGTATCTTCTAGGTGCCTTGTAGGGTGTTTGGAGGGTGGATAGAGAAACCCTGGGTCTGATGAGGAAATAGGAGTGGGAGAGGGTTAAGAGCACAGTTCTGGATGGAATCAGTCTGGCTGGACTCAGATTCGGGCTCTATCTCTTCCTAAGTGGGGCCTTCATACAATGTAACCAATCTGTCTTAACTTCCTCATCTGTGCAATGGTGACATAGGTTGAGCATCTCTAATTTGAAAATCCAAAAACCAAAACGTTTCCAAAATCCAAAATTTTGAACTGACCCAATGTCACAAGTGGAAAATTTCACACCCATTTTCATGTGGCAAGTTGCAGTCAAAACACTGCAATACACAAATAATGTATTACATTACTCTCAGGATATGTGTGTAAAGTGAAACATAGAAAAATTTTGTGTTTAAACTTGGGTTCTATCCTATTTCATTATGCGTACGCATATATTCCAAACTCAAAAAAAAAAAAAACAACAAAACCTAGAATCCAAAACATTTCTGGTCCTAAGCAAGTACTTAGGATAGGAGATACTCATCCTACCCTAACTAATATTTACAGAGCGTTGGAGTGTGCTCAGTGCCTTAAACATAACAGTGCACGTCATCTGTGGGCGCCTATGAGATGAGCTGCTATGAGCATGAAAAGAGAAGCTCTTGCAATCAAATGTAGGGTCTCATTGTCTCTCACGGGTGAGTGGTAAAGATCGGAAGGTATGAAGGCACGGAGAGCAGCTTTATATAATAGAGACTATGTGGGAGAGGGTGGGTAGGAGGAAGGTGGGAGGAGGGAGTCAAGAGGAAAAAAGAAGTAAAGCATTTAACGAACGCAAAAATGGAACATTGTCTGTTGATAATGTGTACGGTAATATCTTTAGACCAATATACAGCGTATTCATGCTGGGAAAATCCATTTTGTATACTGTAAAGATGTACAATGAATAAATGGAAAGGAAGAAAAGAAAAGAAAGAAGAGAAGAAAAGAGAGGGAGAGACAGTCTTGGCATGGGATAACATCCGTAAGTAAGTTACTCTTATTCTGGACCGACTGAGCTTCTGCAATGCGTGGCTCAGGACTGAGTCCTGTAACAGCAGAGACTAGAAAGACCAAGAGTCCTCATCTGTGAAAGGCTCACTCAGTCTAGACCAGATGGATTCTGTGTCTACTCTTGTTTAAACCCCATCCGAAGTCAACCTTCACCATAAAATTGCCCCCAATTCAGCAAAGGAGGTCATTAAGGCTCAAAGAGGTGTCGCTGATGGAGGGCGTGTAGGGCGGGTGTCAGGGGGTGAGAACAGAGGCAGATCGATCTGATTGACAGCCCAGAAGTCTACACTGTAACCGTGACTCTCCACGGTGTGTGTGGGGGGGCAGTTTTTCAGGGGGCATGGACATGTCTAGAGACACTTCTGGTTTTCACAACCGAAGAGGCAGTTGCTCCTGGCGTCGAGTGGACAGAGGCCAGAGGTAGTGCTGACTCCCTGCACCGTGCAGAGCCGTCTCAGAGACGAAGAATTATCCTGTCCCAGTGGCGGGAGTGGCAAGGCCGAGACATCCTGCCTGCAGCACATTAAGCAAAGTCCCTTAGCAGAGCTCAGTGAGAGTGACTGGTGGAGACAGGAAGAGGAGGAGAGTGGAGAGTCGTCAGGCTAAATAGGATGTTCCAGCCATCTGAGGGAACTCCTTCAAACAGAACTTCAGGTTGGCAAAGGCAGTGTCTGGAATTGGGAAAGATAATTTTCAAATCTTGCTGCTTCTCCGGACTGGGTGGGATATTGAAAAAAATGAGTGGGACCTCTGAGCTATGGTTTGCCTGGAAGACGAGAGCTGGTAATGGCTTCCTTGCAGTATTACTGTGGGTATTAAATGTGAACAGGGGCTTGATAATTGCCATTTCTTGTCAAAAAGGCAGACTAGCATAGGATAAGATGGTTCTTAAATTTTTGTGGTCATAAAAAAATCATCCTAGCTTGCTTGCTTGCTTTTCTTTCTTTCTTTCTTTTCTTTTTCTTTTTCTTTCTTTTTTTTTAGAGAGATTTTTGTCATAAGGTACATGCATGCACTGGAGAGACAGAGAGAGACAGAGAAAGGGAAAGTGAGAAATCATCCCCTGGGGGGATGGCCACACCACAATCCCTTCTCCTCTATTCTCCTTTCAAGATTTTGGGCATGCACACATGCCCAGTGTGCATTTCAAGGCTCTAAGTCCAGGGCTCAAACCATGGTTGGCCATGTGGGAGTCTAGCACCTTAACCACTATGCCAACTGCTGTCCCCCACCCTAGTTTTTATGCAAAGAGATATTGGGAGTGTCCATGAATATTCATCTTAACAGACATATTGGATATTTATCATAGAGCCACAGACCATAACATGAGGAAATCTGATCAAGTCACTTGGACATGGGGTCACAGAGACCTCTGTGCAGAACTGGTCGTGACCGTCCCAGTGTGCCCTGCTCCAGTCAGGGCTACTTTCTTATATAAGAGAGGGTCTCACCATGCCATGATCCTCCTGGCTCAGCCTCCCAGCTCTCTGGGATTACAGGCATTTTCTGCCATGGGACATGGCCTTGAGGTGGGACCAGGAATCAAACCCAGGCTTCCCATGTAGTCCCAGCCTGTAAAGCAGCAGCATCCCAGAGGCATGTGCCACTGGGACTGGCCAGGGATTACAAGTTTTGGACTCTTGTTCTTCAAAGTAAGTGAATTCATCCTGGAAGTTCCCCAGGATTTCTTCTCTTGGTGTTGTTGTCCGGAATTTGGTTGTTAGCACTGAAGTAATTCTTTGCAAAGCAAAAGTGATTCTAGTTACTACTAGACCAATCAGGATATACTGCCAACGATGGAGAGTGGGAAACCTCCGAAGGGGAGGAACGAAGCACAATTGTGGTTTGGTTAGCAGAAGAATAGGGGAACAAAGACTGGATGGACAACCAGCAATAGACCATAAACATAGTGAGGAAAAGACTTCAAAGTCGGACATGCTGGACTCAAGTGCTTCTGCTATTTACTACTTAAGTGACTTCAGAAAATTTCATAACTGCTTTGAGCATCAACTTATTCTCATAAAAACTAGAAATAATGAACTCTCCAGAGCTTATGCCCATTGAACTATATCTTATAGATAGCAATTAACACAATGTGTGGTCTCTAAAAAGAACGCCATGGGGGCCGGCAGGTAGCATGGTGGTTAAGGTGCTGGACTCTCACATGGCTGACAGTGGTTCAAGTCCTCGACCTGGCAGCTTGCTTTCTCTCTCTCTCTCTCTCTCTCTCTCTCTCTCTCTCGAGCACATGTGCCCTATAGCAAAATTTTAAATAATACATACAATTAAATAACAATTCTTTCTATTAAAATTTTGAAAAGAAGAATGCCACAAACAATAACAAAACATGTCACTTGACACTCTTTTCTCCCACAGAATCCCGAAGCAATCAGTTATTTTCTCTGCATCTCGGACAGAGAAGAACTCTATGTGAAGCAGGGACAGTAAGAAGCAGACGTTGAAGGTAAATATAGGCCCCCTCTCTGTCTTTGTCAAGCACAGAATCCACAAGACGTGCTGTATTACTAGATATTAGTATCACCCCCAACTGTAAAAGATTCTCGTCAATGATCAATACAAGCCGAGCCCTAACACTCTAACTTAAATACTAATCAAACAATAGGTCAAGGTCAAGTTTTCACAGTGGGCAGAAAAAAGCTGGGAGACTGGGAAAACCTGGGCTGAACGAAATTGCAAAGCGTGTCAGCATTTTTGCATTGAGTCATGGGTGGAAGCAGATTTGAACCTGCTGACTCTGAGTTTAATGGCCTCCCCACTATGCTGAAGCGGCCTGTGCTCATTTTGCTGTTGTCTATATACTCTCAGTTCAGTATTTCTGCTAGTGAACATAAGCCTCGTAATCCCCTTGGTAAAGTAATCAGCCCGATAGTTGGAAAGCATATCGATAACTACGGGAAAATGAAAAATGATCCTTGTCCAAAGAACATCCGAGCGAGTGCCCATTTTATACTATCACTGGCCACTGGGCTCGGAAAAATTTCTGGTCGGAGTTGGTGCTGTAGAGGAAGGTGATGAAATAGGGGTGTGAAGAGGGGTGCTGTAGATGGTTACACAGCCAAGAAATGGCCACTGTCGAAATATTTCAGGTGTGGGCAACATGGAGACCAACCAATCCATGCCTCTGAATGGGTCTATAGAAGCATTCTTTGAGTCTTCTAGCTACAATGTTCTGCGGATCCTCTCGTTGGTGGTTCTTGGGGTCACCTTTGTCCTTGGTGTCCTGGGCAATGGACTTGTGATCTGGGTGGCTGGATTCCGGATGGCACGCACAGTCACCACCATCGGTTACCTGAATCTGGCTCTAGCCGACTTTTCTTTCACTGCAACCCTACCGTTCCAAATGGCCTCCATGGCTATGAATGAAAAATGGCCTTTCGGGTGGTTCCTGTGCAAGTTAATCAACATCGTGGTGGACATTAACCTGTTTGGGAGTGTGTTCCTGATTGCTTTCATCGCTCTGGACCGCTGTATTTGTGTCTTGCATCCCATCTGGGCCCAGAACCACCGCACGGTCAGTCTAGCCACAAAGGTGATCTGTATACCCTGGATTTTTGCCCTAGTTCTTACCTCGCAAGTTTTCATCTTCTTGACTACAGTAACTTCTGAGCAAGGGGATACATACTGTACCTTTAACTTTGCATCCTGGGGTGACACCACTGAAGACAAGCTGAAGGTGGCCATCACCATGCTGACAGCCAGAGGGATCATCCGGTTCATCATCGGCTTCAGCATGCCCATGTCCATCGTTGCTGTCTGCTATGGGCTCATTGCTGCCAAGATCCACAGAAAAGGCATGATAAAATCCAACCGCCCCTTACGAGTCCTCACTGCTGTGGTGGCTTCCTTCTTCATCTGTTGGTTCCCCTTTCAACTCGTTGCTCTCTTAAGCACAGTCTGGCTCAAAGAGATGTTGTTGCAAGGTAAGTACAAAATCCTTGATGTCCTGGTTAACCCGACGAGCGCCCTGGCCTTCTTCAACAGCTGCCTCAACCCAATGCTCTACGTCTTCGTGGGCCAAGACTTCCGAGAGAGGCTGATCCACTCCCTGCCGGCCAGTCTAGAGAGGGCCCTGAGCGAGGACTCACCTCAGACCAGTGACACCACGGCTGGTTCTGCTTCAGCTCCTGCAGAGGCCGAGTTAAAGGCAATGTGAGGAGGGAGCTGGAGGATGCTTTGAACTGCCTGATCAGGCCCTGACCCAAGCACCAGCTTCATCTAGCCTTGAGTCATGCTAAGCCACTCGAGTATGAAAGGCCCAAGTATTTACTCCGGAAGAATATTTCTGTGCCCCCTGCTTTGTGGGAAGGAAATAGGCAACGAAACTACTCTTGATGTCTTTCTTGGTTTTTGGATCTCAGTCTGTACCTTGGTATAAATGAAGGCATGAAAAGAGAAAAAGCAAGCATGGTGGGGATTTGTAAGGCTTCAACAAGATGGTGTCTATTAATGGAAATGCTTTATTTTTTTGCCATTAAGTAAAATGTTTGCTGTAGGGTTTTTGTAGCTAAAAATAAATAAATTTTAAAAATAGACTACAAAAGCTTGCTTCTAGTTCTGGTTGCTAAGAGATTTCTCCTTTTTTGAATCATGCATATGTGTTGAATTTTCACAAATGCTTCTCGACATATACCATATTGTTTTTGTCTTTTTGTTTACATCATCGTAAATTGTATTACCTGTTGGATATTAGTGCACTCTCACATTCCTGAAATAAAGTGCACTTGGCTGTAGTTTCTTTTATGTCTATGACCTACTTTGCTGGATTCGTTTAGAATTTCTGTGTTCATGTTCATGTGAAGATGATTACCATTTTACTTTCCTCTGATTTTCTTGTTATGTTTTATGTCAAACTTATAATGGTCTCCTAAAAAGAGGAGCTAATTCCTCTGGTTTTATTCATTTGTGAATAATATATATATATATATACACACACACACACACACACACACACACACACACACACTTTTTTGGGGGAGAGGTTTTGCTATAGGGCACATGCGCTCGCCAGAAAGACAGAGAGAGACACTTAGACAGAAAGCGAGAAATCACCGCCAAGAGGGGATGGCCATGCTAAAATATCCTTTCTCCTCCATTCTCCTCTTGGGCACCTGCGTCTGGCATGAGTTTAAGCCACCAGATCCAGTGCTCGAACTGCGGTTGACTGCATGGTAGCCCAGTGACATAGCCATTACACCAACTGCTGGTCCCTATATATGCTCTTTTTAATGGACAGAAAAATTCATCAGTAAGGTCAACTGAGTCTTGGGGTTTTTTTCTGGAAAAGTTTTTAATAACAGGTTCTACTTATTGCTTTGAGGGGGGGAATTTACCAGAGGACATGTGCACTCACCAGAGAGAGACAGAGAGACAATGAGAGGGAAACACCACCCAGGAGGTGGGCCACACAGCAATCCCCTCTCCTTTACTCTCCTCCTGGGATTTTGGGCATGCACACACACGCCTGGCGTCATTTTTATGCCACCAGGCCTAGGACTCGAACTGTGGTTGGACAAGTGGGAGTCCAACACTTTAACTACCACACTACCTGCTGGTCCCTAATTTTTTTTAATTGTTAAAGGTGCATGGCCAGAGACAGGGAGAGAGGGAAAGGAACCCCCAAGGCAGCGTGGTAACGCTGCAATCCGTTCTCCATTTCTCCATCCTGTCAGAATTTGGGGCATGCACACACACGTGCACCCGGCATGTTTTTCAGGCCACTGGGGCCGGGACTCAAACTACATGGCTGCACATGCAGGATATGACTGACTCCCTTAACCAAGCCACAGGCTGGCCCTTATAACAGGTTCAGCGTCTTTAACAGTTATTAGACTTAGTTTTCTTTTTCTTCTCCATCAGTTTTGGTAGACTATGATTGTCAAGGAATTTGGAATTTATCCAAACTGTCAAATTTACTGGCATGAAACAGTATAATACCTGTGTACAGAGTTTAGAATGGTTTCTTCCGAATAAGAATGTAAGTCATTTGGTGGCAGGGATTTCGATGTGCATTATTCACTGGTGGATCCTTATCCCCTATGTGTAAAATAGAGGCTGATATGTTATACACACTATTTATTGAATTGATAAATCTATGGAATTGACAAATCAATAAATACTATCATGGCAGACAGACAGCACGGCAGTTAAAGGTGCTAGACCCCCACATGGATGACTGCGGTTCGAGTCCTGGACCTGGTGGCTGGCTTTCTCACTTTCCTTCTCTCTCTCCCACTCTGTCACTCTCTGGCCAAATTTAAATAAATAAATAAATAAATAAATAAAGTTAAATATAAATAAATAAACAATAGTATAATCTAAGTGTCAAGAATTTTTAGTGTGTAATTAAAATTTTCTCTGGTCCTCGTAAAACAGGCCACGTCTAGTAAACTGTCTCATGCTCACAATATTTATAAATTCCCACGCAGTTTACGTTTTCACAAACACCTCTGGTTTTGCGTTTCCACTTCAAGTAATATACTATGAAGGATGACTTTGTTTCGAAATCAGTCCTCATGATAGTACTCAGCCCTTATCCTTGGTTTCTACAGTATCCGCTCATAGATGGTTCTTTATTGCATTGGAAAAGAAATGACTTAGAATGAATACTAGGGGCCAGTCGGTGGAGTGGAGGTTAAGGTGACTGGATCCCACACGGCTGACTGCATAGTTTGAGTCCTGGACCAGTGACTTGAAAACACGCTAGGTATGTGTGCATGCACACACAAAATCCCAAGAGTAGGGTGGAGAAGGGATTATGGTGCGGCCATTCCCTCTGGGGGTGATTTGTCACTTTCTCTCTCTGTCTCTGTCTCTAGCAAGTACACATGACCTACAGCAAAAACTTAAAACAGGTAAATAAATAAACTTCACCATTTTTTAAAATGAACATTAGCGAGTCTTATTATCAGAAGTCCTTTAGTCACTCCACTGCTTTGCTCAGTCGTCTTTCTTTCATGTCACCCCTAGTGTTCCTTGCATTTCCAATGTAGAGCCATTTTTCCATTTCATTTGCATTCCTGACTCCAATAAATGCTTTCAGGTTTCTAAAAAATATATATTCTGTAATGCCCAGGTAAGGCATGGGGATATAAAATAAGGAACAAGGAAAAAAATGCAAGAGGAGAAAGCAAGAGCCACGAAGGACAGTGCATAACCTCTAGATAGGAGGACTAGTGCTTCCAGATTGGCTAATTAAGGAATTCCCCCACTGCCAGGTCTGGAAATTCCTACTATTTCTGTCCATTGGCCTTGGTGAACTGCAATAGAACAGTGCCTACTACACCCTCTCCACTTTTATTTACTTATTTCTTCAATGAATGAGAGACACAGAGATACTGCGTTCCCAAGGGGTCCTGACATGATCCTCCTCCAGCCTCAGCCAGTCCCAGATCCTGGGAAAACACTCCTGCCTGGTGCACTCAGGGAGTCTGGGGACATGAACACGGAACTTTCTCATGTGGGCCAACCTTGTAGAGCATCTTGTTTTATCCCTGCACCACTGTTTGGCTCCCCTCTTGGTTTTTCTTTTCTTCATGGAGAGTTTTCATGACGGACGCTCGGTTCCCATTGCCCCGCTCTATGTGGATGTCTTTGGAAGCTGAGTTTATGGGACACTTCTCACAGAGAAACACCTCTAGATCTGAATGAGTCTAAAGCTCCAAGTAAAATTTGGGGGATATCATTCCTGAGGATGAGATTTGTTTGAGGAGAAGAGCATGGAGAGGCTGTGGTAGAGGTTGTCGGCTGTCTACTTAATACCCAGTTCCTCTTCTTCATAACAAAAGTGGGTGCCAATTCATCCAATAAAATAATACTTTTGCCAAATTGTGCAGTAGGAGTATGTTTAGTTTTGTAAGAAACTACCAAACTGTCTTCCAAAGTAGCTGTAGTATTTTGCTTCCCATTGGCAGTGAATGAGGATGTTCCACATCCCCACCATTGTTAGGGCTCAGAACGTGAGACCCTAAGCTACAGTGCTTGGCATACTGAGCACTCAAAATAAAGAAGATCTGAAGGCCGAGATGCAGCCTCAGAAGGAGTCTTTCTCTAATTGTACCCTGCCCTCAGATCTCAGTCCCCTCCCCTACCCTCAAGGCAAGCTAGAGAAACTAGAGTTCTTTTTCCCCAAAGTCAGTCACAAACCTTGAAAATATTACTTTAACCATCCTCTGCCTTTTTGTGTAAGAGCTGTCCATAAAGAAATTCTCTGGGGGCCGGCAGCTGGCGTGGTGGTTAAGGGCGTTGTACTCCCACATGGCTGACCACAGTTCAAGTCCCAGACCTGGAGGCTTGCTTTCTTATTTTCCTTCTCTCTCTCTGTCCCTCTCTGATCAAATTAAAATAATAAATAAAGTTAAATAAAATAATTATTAAAAAAAGTTCTCTGACATACCTTATATAATAGTAGATCATTAAACCCCCATTCCAGGAGGGGTCCCTCCCCATACCCAGGAAGAAGAATGACAGCAGAGAGCCAAAGAAGGATCTGAATGACCTTTCTGCATCTCCCTATTCAGCCTATGACCTTTTTTGTCCAATCACATTTCTAGATAGCTGTCCTTGCTCCATCAAACCTGAGCATAAAATTGACTAGTTCCCGCTGTATTCTTTGGGTATTCATTCTGAAGGCTCTAGTATCACTTAAAACTATAATTAAATCATGTGTTCATGTGTTTCTCTGGTTAACCTGTATTTTGTTATAAGACCATCGTCCATGACCCTTGTGCTAGGTAAGGAATGTGACCTGTTTTCTCTTTCATGCCCTACACCAGCATTTGGTGCAGTTCGTGTCCTAGACGAGGGCCATTTCTAATAGGCATATAGGGGTATCTCACCGTTTTAATGTGCGTTTCCCTAACAATATGTGATGAGAAGCATCCTTTCCTATATTTCTGTGCCATCTGTAGACATTCTTTATTGAGATGTCTATGGGATATTTGGCCCATTTTTTAAGTGGCTTGCTTGTGTTCCTATTGTTGAGTTTTCAGAGCATGTTGTATATTTTGAATAACAGTCCTTTATCTGTCGTCTGTAAATATTTTCTCCTAGTCTGTGACTTCTCTTTTCATTTTCTTGACAGTGTCTTTCACAAAGAAGAAAATTTTCCTTCTAATGAGATCCAGCTTCTTAATTTTTTCTCTCATGTTCCATGCCTGTTGCATTACATCTAAAAATCATCGCAAACCTAGTCACCCAGACGTTCTCATATGTTGTGTCATCATGTTTGTTCAGACTGACCACTCTCCACAATCTCCTAGGAGTTTCATAATTTTCTATTACACACTTAGATCACAACCCCTTCTCCTCTCAGGATTTTAGGCACACATGCACATATGCCTGGTGTGAATTTTAAGTTGCCAGGTTTGGGACTTGAACTGTGGTCAGCTACTTGGGAGTCCAGCGATATAACCATTGCTGGTCCCCAAACTCACTTTTATAACAACTCGCTCTCCTGATAACTAATCCCGTCCCACAAGAATCACTCCCCCCTATGAGGACTGTATTAATCCCTTCATGTGAGAGGAGCCTCCATGACCCAGACACCTCTTAAATTTCCCCCACCTCTTAACACTGTTACATTAGGGACCGAATTTCAACATGAGTTTTGGAGAGGACAAGCCACATCCGAGACATAGCAGATACTATGCTGAGAAAATAAAAGAGGACATAACAGCGCACAATACAGATAATACAGTGTGATTCTTTTTATGGGAAAAAAAGAATATTAAATCAACAAAATTAAACAGTACAGTTTAAGAACATATAACTATGTGATAAAACCATAAATGACAGCCAACAAGTGACATGGAGGGTAAGGTGCTGGATCCCACATAAACAGCTGCATAGTTCAAGCCCTGGACCTGGCAGCTTAAAAATCACGCCACGCACATGTGCATTCATGTGTGCCCAAAATCCCAAGAGGAAAGTGGAGAAGGGATTGTGGCATAGCCATCCCCCCCAGGGGTGATGTCATTCTCTGGAGAATGCATGCGCCCCATAGCAAAATAAAAATAAAAATAAATGAATGCGATGAATTAATTAGCGCACAAGTCAAGATAGTGCTTATACTTAGGAGGAGGAAGGGACACCAACCAATAAGTATTTTGCGGCCGGTAGCTTCTGGAATAATGATGGTCATCTATTTTTGACTTGGGTGAGGGTAGATGGGAATTTGTTTTACAAAAATATATTCATCTTTACCTTTATCTTTTATTCTTTTTTTATGTGTGTAGATTTGTCATAGTCTGCTTTTAAAAGTTAAAATAGGTCAGTCAAATTCAGGTCCCTTTTCCTCTATACCGGAAAACCTTCATAGCTTCTGGATTGAGGCTGTTTGAAGTAGGGCGACCCATTGAAGTAGGCACTGCAGTTCTCTGAACTTGAATGTGCCAGGACAGGGAGGCCTGAAGGAGCAACGGCGGCGGCAGCGAACACTCCGGACAGGACTGGCTTTCGTGTCCTTGTTTGCCTCAAGTGCTAATAAAAATGAACTCTTTAGAAATCGAGCTCCATCTTGTGGCTGCCACGGCACAAAGCAAGGAAATGGAGGTCTTGCGTCAACCTCAGCCCTGAGGGAAATCACCCTCGGAGAGCTCGAGTATTTCCCAGCCAGCTCCCCGAGTGAATTTCCAAGTCCATCCGAAGGAGGAACTTTGCTTTTTCAATCCAGGAAGTCCCCTTCATTCCAGAATGTACATTCCAGAGATTGGAGAGTTCTGGAGATCTGGCCTATACCTCATCCCACCCTGAGTTATCACTGCTACTAGACAGGAAAATCTGTGCAAATGCTTTATAATCCCAGTATCCCACAGATCGTCCAACCGTGTTTCCCTCCTCACATTCCCATCTCATGTCTCTGCCAGCTTCAAATACCACTTCGCTGACTGTTTCCCAAGTGTTGATCTACAGCGGATGCTGCTCCATCAGAATTACCTGGGGAGTGTTTGTTTAAATACGAGTCCGGTCACCACGGCATCAAGCATCTGACTCATGAGGTCTGCTCAGAAATCTTTGTTCACAAAGCTCCCTGGTAACTGGGATGTGCAGCCAGATTTCTCTGATTACTTACAGTTGCTTAAGTCCTCTTCTAGAGAACAGAGTAAGAACGAATATTAGGCCACGAGAATAAAAACTAATATGAGACCTTGGAAACAAGTATGTCTTTCTCGAAGAAGAAGTTTTTGTCCCAGGGTGCATGAGCTCACTGGAGAAAGAGAGAGAGACAGTGAGAGGGAAAGTGAGAAATCACTTCCCAGGGGGACGGCCATGCCACAATCCCTTCTCCTTCACTCTCCTCCCAGAATCTTGGGCTCGCATGCATACATGCCCGGCATGAGTCTCAGGCCACCAGGTCCAGGGCTCAAACTGCAGTTGGCCATGTGAGAGCCCAGTGCCATAACCACTATGCCATCTGCTGGCCCCAATAACAAATATATCCTTATAGTCCATACTCCAAACAAATGATCTTTACATGGCACTGATGACACAGTCACTGGAAGGGGGATGAGGGCAGAAGTCAGGTTAGCAAAATCAATCCGGAGAGAACGGCTGTTGTCCCACTATCTTCTGTAAGGCCCTCTGGAAATTTCTCTTGTCTTGAAGTGGCAGCATGGGTAAGCTAAGTGTTCCATATTCTGTTGTAAAAGAGGTTAACAGAATCAATAATTAATACAAAATAATTCTCCCCCACCTTTTCCATCTCCTAATTCCTACCATAAGTAGTGCACCCACAAGAAAATCAATATACCTAAATCTGAAGCAGCTTTGTGTATGGATACACAGAGCAAACGCCTGAGGCAGACAAGAGGAAGAACAACTGTTGATACAAAAGGAGCCACGTAGCCCCATAAACCATGCCCTTTACTTTTACTCTTCCAGGTCTAATATTAGCTCTGTGTCCCAGCTTGTAGGGATGTAGTTGCCAAATAGTTATTTTAATTTTTTTTTTTTAGTTTTAATTGACCGATAATATTTATGGGGTGTAATGTGATGTTTTGCTACTCAAATGAAGCTAATTAACATATTCATCACCTCAAACAGTTATCATTTCTTTGTGGTAGAAACATTTATAATTCACTTTTCAAGCTATATTGAAATAGCTTAAATAATACCATATATTGTTGGGGCCAGCAGGTGGCGTGGTAGTTAAGGACTGGACTCCCATATGGCTGACCATGGTTCGAGTCTTGTTCCTGGCAGCTTGCTTTCTCAATTTCCCTCTATCTCTCTTTGTCTCATTCTTGCTCTGTCCCTTCGATCAAATTTTAAAAATAAATAAATAACGTTCAAATAATTTTTTAAAAATACCATATATCGTTATTAAATAGGAGTAGCTACCACGCTGAGCAGGTCACCATAACCTACGCTTCCTGACTAACTGAAACTTTGCACCTTTGTCTAGAATCTCCTCTCCCCTCCGTCTGCCCTAGCCAGCCCCGAGTCATGGGAATACACATGCTTGGCACCCTCGGGGAGGTCTCCAGACATGGACCTAGAACCTTTCTATCGGCCAGCCTTACAGATCATCACTTTTTCCACTACTCCACCATCCGGCCCTTGATTTTCTTTTTTTGTACAGTTTCTATGGGTCATGTATTTGGGAGTGGCTTCATTGGACGCTTCTGGCTTGGAATCTCCCATGAGGCTGTAGTCAGATACAGCTGAGACCGCAGCTATCTGAAGGCTTGACTGGGACTAGCAGATTCACTCTTAAATAACTTGCTCTCACGGCTGGTGAGTTGCTGCTGACAGGTTAGTTCCTTTCCACAGAACTGCTCGAATCTTTCACAACAAGGTTGCTGGCTTCCCCAGAATGAGTGATCTGAGTGAGAAAGAACGAGGTGGAACCATCATTCTTTTTATAACCTAGACATAAAAGTTATATAGAATTACTTCTGCCATACTTCACTGGTGAGGGAAGTCACAAGTTTCCACCCAGAAAGGGGAGGGAAAAAAACACGCCAGTTCTCAGTGGGAGGAGTGTAAGTTCCCCATTAGAAGAACGCGTGGGATGGGATAAGTAGATAGCATAGTTATCTGTGGAAAACTGTCTACCACAGTCTCTAAAGATCATTTTAGGTTATAAAGTTACAGTATGCATTTTACCATGTAGGATGGGTGTCTAGACTTTGGGAGTAGAACTGTACATTTCAAGTTCAGTTCAAAATTAGAGATGATTAACAAAGGCCTGTGTAGGGGTGACTGTTTACACTGGTACAATGTCTTCTCCTCCTGCTATCATTACAGACGACCTACCATAAAAAGCAGTGGTTTCTGTCTTTGGCCACCCACTCTGCTCCCTGTCTCCCCGTGTAGTTGGGTGGCAGGGAGGAAGGGTGTACATGGACTCCTACTTACCAAGGCACACTCACCGCTGAGCACTCAGTCTGCCAGCCCCAGAGCTCAGCATTGAGTCCCTGATACGACACCATTCCCCAGGACCACCGGCCAGCTACCTGGCGGCGGATGCTCACATCAGACCACTTCTACCGATGTGAGAAGGGGCAGTGTCTTATTCTAACTGGACATGGCTGCTGGAGATGGATTTGCTTTCTCTGCGCACAAAGTTTCTGCCAAAACTGCAGTTTTGGGATTTACAGAACTTCTTGTCCATCACCGGGTACTCCACACAGCATTGCTTCAGATCAAGGAATTTACTTCACAGACAAGAGTCCGTGCTCTGGAGCTCACAGGTCTTACTGTCTTCCCACCATTCCTGCAGTAGCTGACTTGATAGAGAGGTGGGTGGCCTTTGGGAGATTCAGTCACAGCACCAGATGGATGGCAATGGTGTGCAGAGGGGGGTCACTGTCATCCAGGAGGCTGACTGTACTTTGTGCTTAGGTCTCTGTTAACCAACTTGTCACTCTCTTAAAAAAAAAAAATCAGCCAAGGCCACCTATCCACCCAGGAGACGGTATTACACAAGTTCAGCAGCATGTCACTTACATACCCAGGAACCACCAAACAGCTGTCCATCAGTAACGGCCACGCCCATTGTGCCCTTTCATACAATAGAAGTTCATGGCGCCTCGGGGCGAGTGCAGACATCTTGGGAGAGAACTGATTGCTGTTACTGCCAAGAATGGGTTCCCCAGCCAAGAAAACCGGAATGGGCAGAAAACAGATTCTGGGAGTTTCTGCTCAGAGACAGCATGCTCTCCGGGACTCACAGTAGGCAAATGCATTGAAGAGGAAGGATTCTGGAAGTCGAGGTCGTGTCAGAAGAAAAGGAAGAGCAGTGGGGCCAGCAGGGGGAAAACCCTAAGCGATGACAGGCTTCTTTGTCTACGGCCAGAGCCCAGCCAGCGCAGGGGCAGGAGCTTAGACTCTGGACTTCTCCACGTTGCACAGTGAGCCACTTTTGGGGGCTGGGCCGCGACAGAAGGAGAGGCCAATACTGGGGACTGCTGAGATTCGTAAATTCAGAAGAGATAAGAGATCTGAGGAACTACATTTTTTAAAGCACTTGGTAGACTCCACAGATCAAAAGAAAATTATACTTCACGTGAACGCATTCAACCTATCTGTGGGTTAGTGATGTCACATGAAGTACTTAAGTTCCTCTTCTCTGGCAGGAGAAGGTTAATGCACAGGACTCCCACATGGCTGACAGTAGCCAGTCCCAGACCTGGCAGCTTACATTCTCACTTTCCCTCCTTCTTAAAATTAAATAATTCTTTTTCTTTTTCTTTTTTTTTTAAAGTTCCTCTTTACATTGTGGTGTGGGGGAGATCTTGTGACAGAAGAAAAGCAAGAGTAGGCAGTGGGGCTACATGACATGTGAGGGACCCTCGCTCAAGCAGCATCTAGTCACCTTAAGGGGATTTGCCTATTGTCAGCCTGGGGTGTATATTCAAACCCCACCACAGGTGCTTTCTGGACCTGGTAGTGGGACCCATGAGTCCCAGCTTTGGTGTTTTGTTACAGCAGCACAAACAGACTAAGACAGATGGTAACCGGAAGAGGGATCATTCACACTGGAGACATCTTTTCACTCACTTTGTCACCATTAAAAGTTCAGAAACTACCAGCTAAAGTAGTAAAATAGCAAGGCTTCCCACCCATCCATGACAACTGGCACTTCGTTTCCACCCACTCCCGTTGTGTTGGTTCCACTCGCCTGGACTGCACTGCCTTGGGAATTCCCTCTCTGTTATCCTCTGCTCTCCAGTCCCCAGCTGGACGACTGCTCTGGCTTGGTAGCTTGATAACCTGTCACGAGGTAATCACAGAGAACCTGAACAGTATCACAGCCTGTGAGGTAAGGTTCTCCTTCAGGGAATGTACAATTCACATTTCGGCAAAATGGAAATCTTTCATTTGAGAGGTGAGATTATGTATATCACTGTTTGATAATAAAGAAAATAACTTCTAAAAGTTAAAATCCAGAATAATTAAGGGTGTCAGATCACCTGCAAATTGTAGCAATAGAAGACGGGCAACCAACGGGTTTACACGGATATTTAGGAAAGTTGTCCTTACCCAATGACATTAAGATAGAGGTTTTTCTGATCAGGGTCTAAGAGCTACCCTTCCTCCCAGGTGACACAGTGACAACATCACTGAATGACAGTAGGTCCTGTAATAACATAATCCTTTTCAATCTGGAGTTAATATAATGAAATAAAGAAAACCTACAGAACATTATTCTCATTCATTTTACTGTGGACGTTTACAATGATTGCTCTGTGCCTAGTTTGGTTTTCACTTTTTAGGTAAAATCCACTCAAGCTATCCTTTCTTTGTGCATTCTTCATTCACTTCTTTACTAATTCTTTTATCCAACTAATTTCAAAGGTCTTCTGCATCTCTGAATTATTTAAACACTTCTGCAATCCACCTTAGAGCATTTAATAACATACAAGAGGACTAAAGAAAGGTTGTGGAAATATGGAATTTCAGTACGAGTTTATTTGGGGGCAAAAAAAAATCTAAATCCATCCATTGTTTTTTCATAATACATACTTTCTGTCAATGTTTTAAAGATCTGTAATGCTGTAATAAAAATGTAAATAAAGCATCATCCTGCCTTCAACAGTTGCTGGTTCTGCAGAGAGTGGCAAACACATTCCTCTGCAGAAAACTTCCACATATAAAGGTGGAGGCATTTGGTTTAACGAGGGTTATGACTGAAGTATTAAGCTATTATGTGGACACTATTAGATAAGGAAATCATAGTTCTGAACAAGAGGTCGAACTGAAGCTACCCCGACCATGATTTGTCGTATGTTCCAAAGTAGGAAGATGGAAAAGATGAGGGGTCAAAGAGTTTTCCAGAAGGAGCAACATGTTTACAGGCATTAAATACCACTGTGGGTTTAAGGAACTATAAATAATTCAGTGAGACAGGAAAAGAAGCTGTAGAGAACAGCTATCCATAAGACAGGAGTATATGTCAGAGCCAATATATATACTTCCTGTACACACGTAGTCACTATTGCAGTGTTTTTCACATACAAAAGTATATTGTGTTCAAAATCGTCTTTAGAGGGGCCAGCAGTTATTTATGGTGGTTAAGGCACTGGACTCCCACATGGTCAGTCACGTTTCGAGTCCCAGACATAGTGTCTTGAAACTCATGCCAGGCGTGTGTGCAGAATCCTGAGAGGAGGATGAAGGGACTGTGGCATGGTCATCCTCCTGGGAGATGTTCTCGTTTTACCTCTCTCTCTCTGTCCCTCTCTGGTGAGCACATGCGCCCTATGGCAAAAATCTAAAAAAAAGAAAAAGAAAAAGTTAATTGTCATTTGAAATTGATTGTGCTGCATATTATGTTATTCATAAAACAAAACACAGAATTGTTACTATGCACCATAAGTTATTCTAAACAATTTACACAATAATCTGTACAACACTTACGTAAGTGGCACTAAATTCATTTTATAGATAAGAAATTTTAGTTTAAGAGACTTATTTTCCTAGATTTGCCTTTTAAACCTTCCACATTTCCTTAGGAAGAGGGCTGTTCACTGAGTCCATACTCTGGATCAGAAAAACAGAAGAGAGGGACCAGCAGATGGCATAGTGGTTACATCACTGGACTCCCACATGGACAGCCACAGTTCAAGTCCTGGACCTGGTGGCTTAAAACTCAGGCCAGGCACATGTGTGTGCATACCCAAAATCCCAGGAGGAGAAATGGAGTGGAGGAGTCCAACCCGGTGGGGCTCCAGGACCCTTCTGAGCCCCTTGACCTTTGAGCATCGCTTCCGGTCGGTTCAGTGAGTTGGCAAGGCCGCGACTGTACGCCCCCCGACCATGGAACAAGCTTGGGTCACTTAGCATGTTGGCAAGGCCGCCTGCTATTCGCTCCGGGACTGTGATAGCCTTGCTGGGAAATGACCCCCCTCTGACTCCCCGATATACTACTATAAAAGAATTACATAGCTCCCTCATACATTTTGAGTGTGTGGTAGGATTTCCCGAAAAGTCCCCCGACCGCTCCCCTTTACCCTGACCACTTACTGTTAATTACAACGCTTCATTGGGCACAGTAAAGGGTGTGCTAAAGTTCTTCCTGATCTTTGGAAGGCCCCTCAAGACACATTTAATATAAATAATCTTTTCAC